AACTCAACCACATTTAACATCAATAATAACAAATGGGAAAAATATAGAATGTAAATTGTAGTCCCAGGTACGTAACTGCGAATGAGACTTCTGTCAATAAAACTACGTGTTTCAGAGGTACTTTAGAAAGAACATCTACAATCAAGTTTTCTTCCCAGCATTTTCAAGGCTTAAGTTCATATAAGGGAACAGCCTAATTATTATTATTTTACATGTAGTAAAATTTGTTCATTTCAAATACATTCTTTAGGCACTATAAGAGATGCACGTGGCGCTTGCTAGATTGAATACATAGAAATCACATCGACTACATCTGCGGAAAGAGATGATGGAAAACCTCCATATCAGCAGTCTAAACAAGGCCATGGGCAGACTGTGGAACAAACCATCAATTGCTCATATGCAAACTCAGACTGAAGCTGAAGAAAATGAAAACAAGTTCACGAGAGCCAAAATATGACCTTGAATATATCTCACCTGAATTTAGAGACCATCTGAAGAACAGATTTGTTACATTAAACACTAAAGACAGAAGACCACAAGAGTTGTGAGATGACATCAAGAACATCATACATGAAGAAAGCAAAAACTCATTAAGAAGACAAGAAAGAAGGAAAAGATCAAAATGGATGTCAGAAGAGACACTGATACTTGCTCTCCAATGTAGAGATGATAAAGCAAATGGGAGAAAAGAGGAGGTACAAGAACTAAACCGAAAAATTCAAATGTTATCTCGAGAAGATAAAGTCAAATATTACCACAAAATCTGCAAAGATCTGGAGTCAGAACACCAGAAAGGAAGAACAAGCTCAGCATTTCTCAAACTGGGAATATTGAAGAAAAAATTCAAGCCTTGATTTCATTATTGAAGGATTCTCTGGGCAAATTATTCAATGCTGGAGAAAGCATCAAAAGAAGATGGAAGGAATACACAGAGTCATTGTACCAAAAGGAAATGGTTGATGTTCAACTGTTTCAAGTGGTAGCATATGATCAAGAGTCAATGATACTGAACGAGGAAGCTCAAGGTGCATTGAGGGATTGGCAAAGAACAAGGCTCCAGGAATTGATGGAATAAATTGAAATCTTTCAAGAAAGTGAGGCGGCACAGGAGGCACTCACTCATCTATGCCAAGAAATTTGGAAGACAACTGTCTGGCCAACTGATTAGAGATTTGTCTTTGTGCCAATTTCAAAGAGAGGTAAAAGAGAGGTGACCCAAAAGAATGCTAAAATCATTGGTCAATATCTTTGTAATCCCTTGTGAGTAAAGTTCTATTAAAGGTAATAAAGAAACGGCTACAATCATATTGACAGAGAACTGCAAGAGGTTCAAGCAGAATTCAGAAGAGGCTGTGGAACAAAGGATATCATTGCGGATGTATGATGGATCTTGGCTGAAATCAGAGAATATCAGAAAGATTTCTGTGTTTTTTGTTTTTTTTTTCCTACCTGTGTTTAATTGAATACGCAAGGTTTTTGATTGTGTGGATCATGACAAGCTATGGACAACATTGCGAAGTATGAGTATTCCGGAACACTTAATTGTGCTCATTAGGAATCCGTACATGGACCAAGAGGCATCAAACAGAAGATGGGAACACTGAAAGGTTTAAAATTGAGAAAGGTGTGCAACAGGGCTGTATTCTTTCACCATATGCAAATTGCTCTAGGTTGTATGTATAAATTAGGTTATATGAAGAAAATGGTGGCATCAGGATTGAAGGAAGACTCATTAATAACCTGTGATATGCAGATGATACGATCTTGCTTGCTGAAATGAAGAGGGCTTAAAATATTTACTGATTAAGATCAAAGAGCACAGCTTTTGGTATGGATTACATCTCATTGTAAAGAAAACAACAATCCTCACCACTGGACCAATAAACAACATTCTTATCAATGGAGAAAAGTAGGTGAAAGCTGCACAGTGAATAAATAAGACCATAGAAGAATTGATACATTTGCGTTATGGTGTTGGAGGAGAATATAGAAAGTACCATGCATGGGCTGTCAAAAGTACCAACAGATGTGTGTTGGAGGAAGTGCAGCCAGATTGCTCCTTGGAGGCCAGGTTGCAAACCTTCGTCTCTCATACTTTGAACATATTGTCCGGAGGGACCAGTCGCTGGAGAAGGATGTCATGTTTGGTAAGGTGGAGGATCAGAGAAAAAGAGGAAGAACCCCAGCAAGATGGATTGACAAAGTGAAAACGTCAATAGGCTCAAGTGTGGCTACAATTGTGAGGTTGGCCCAGGATCGGGTAGTATTTTGTTCTGTTGTGCATAGCATCACTATGAGTAGGTACCAACTTGATGGCCCCTAACAACAACAACAAACAAATTAATACATGTAGTAGTTTGTTGTTAAGTGATGTTGAGTCAGTTTCTAGTCACAGTGACCCGGCATAGGGACTTCAAGTAGCAACTGGTGGGTATGAACTGCCATTCTTGTGGTTCGCATTTCAGTGCTTCTCCTACCATGTAACACTAGTATTTTGTCATATAATTGAAATTAAGTAAAATCATTATTCAGTTTTTTATTCATTTGTACATTTTGTAATTTACCATCTTTTCCACAAACAATGTCCCTAAATAACAGTGCACTCGTGTATAATGCTCATAGCTCCAGTAGCAAACTGACAGCCAAGGGGGTTTTGAATTTCCCAAAAATTGCACATCAAATGTGTTATTTTCATTAAAATATGTCACACAATTTACAATTTAGATCCTCAGTTAATACTTCCATCCTTTCTTCATAAGGAATGAATAGACTAAATAAAGAAATTTTACCAACTATTCCTCAGTTTATGAGTTCTGTTGTTGTTCTGTAAGATAAGCACTGTACCACAAGTTCCATTTAAACTGCAAGTTGATGGTTCAAACTCACCAGCCACTTCTTCAGAAATCCTATTCAATCCGAACCAACATGAATAGAATTAACAATAACAGCATTTCTCCACTGGCACTGTAGAATA